CCCCCGCAAGAGGCTATTGTCATGACTTGAACCCTTGACCTCCTGGTCACACGACTGCAAGTTCATATTTTGTCTATCTTGCCTCAAGAATTGTTAGTGAAAGTTCATTGTCAGTAACACATCTTTCATCAGTTGATTCATTTGATTGATTAGTTGAATCCCTCTCTATAAAGAAACCAGGCTGCTTTGGTTGAGGCAATTCCACACCATCATTGCTTAACCAGAAAACTACTGAAGCCATTGTAGGCCTGTCTTCAGGGAGTTTTTGTACACACAATAAACTTACTTGAATGCATCTCAACACTTGTGATTCAACATATGAGTCTTTTAAACATTCATCCATTAGTTCCAATGCTTTGCCTTCATTCAATAGTAACCATGCCTGAAATATTTTTTATGATAACACAGTTATACAAATGCATTTAGTAAAAAGAAGCTACAACGGTGACTACTACAATGCCTCAGTCATCATGAATTATACACTTGCATTAGTAAAAGAAAGGCTATGTGGACTAGTACAACGCCTCAGTCCCGTCTGCATTATGAGGATTCGTCATGAATTGACTAGTTTTATGCTTGGCTGCTAGCCTATTGTGACCCTCTTACTTCTGTAGGGGCTTGGGAATGGAAATGTAAGGCTATAACAACTACTACTACAACACCTCGGCCCCAACTGTATTATGAGGATTCGTCATGAATTGACTAGTTTTATAATGGCTTCTAGCCTACTGCGATCCTCTTCCTTTATGGGGGTTTGGGACCGGTAATATGAGTAAACTCAGGCAGGTCAAGTTTTTTTAATGGAAAACAGGCTATAACAACTACTACAATGCCTCAGTTCCGACTGTATTGTGAGGATTCGACATGAACTGACTAGTTTTATACTGGCTGCAACCCTCTTCCTTTATGGGAGCTTGGGACTGGTGATGTGAGTAAGCTCAGACGGGGTCGAGTGTTTAGTAAAAAAAGAGGCTAAAGGGTAAAAATTTAGTGCTATATGTACTTACATGTCCCAAAAGATTATGATGATGACTCAAATGATGAAACTTCCTGTTCTTTCTGCCACTGACAATTTCAAGTAAAAGCACGCCAAGGCTGAAGACATCAGATTTCACTGAATATTTCCCATCGACAGCATACTCCGGAGACATGTATCCGCTACACAATGCATCAAATTTAAGTTGATCAACTTGTTGATTGTAACAAACAAAAACATCTATCATAGAGGTTGTTTATAAGACTTACTATGTTCCGATTACTCGCTTTGTTTTTCCTTCCATTTGGTCTGCACCAAATATCTTAGCTAGACCAAAGTCAGAAATCCTTGGATTCAAGTCAGTATCCAACAAAATGTTGCTGGCCTTCAGGTCCCTGTGTATAATTCTTAATCTTGAGTCCTGATGAAGATAGAGAAGGCCTCGAGATATTCCCATCGCGATTTCATAGCGATTTCTCCAAGAAAGTGATTCTTTTCTGCTTGGATCTGCAATATGTAAAATGTCAGTGAATCCTCATCCATTCATTTATTAGTAGGTTGCTCAAGTCCTCCAAAAATGCCTCCGCGCCCATGTTGGATCCTCCAGAAGTAGTGCATCTTTTGAGGATCCGACACTGGTGCAACATCATTTTTTGGAGGATACGAGCAACATAGTATAAAGGTGACTAGTCGAGAGAACCGGACCAAAAATGAAATAGTCCAAGCTATTGTTTGGCATATACTCATATATCAGCATCCTCTCTACTCCTTCAAGGCAACAACCTAAAAGCTTGACAAGATTCCTGTGTTGTAGTTTGGATATCAGTATCAGTTCATTTTTCAACTCTTGAAGACCTTGTCCTGAGTATTCCGAAAGCCTCTTCACCGCTATCTCAGGTCCATTTCGTAGTTTCCCCTGAATTTTTTTTCAAAACAAAGTGTTAAAGATGCCTTTTTTTAGCTAAAATTCGACGATGGGATAGTTATTGTACCTTATAAACAGGTCCAAAGCCACCCTCTCCAATAATATTAGCAGAAGAGAAGTTCTTAGTGGCGTTAGCAACAGTTACTAAATCGAACAATGGTAACTCCATATCGTCTGCTCCAACTTCCCTACCTGTAAAATGAGCAATCAATTGGTATAAATGTATACATTAGCCTGATACAAATAGAACGTTAGCAACACGATCTTTTGATAACGATGAACAATAGTTGTTTACCTTTACTCTTTTTTCTTCTGTGGAATAATGCACACCAAGCTAGAAGGCTGAGGATACAAGTCGCGGCTACTGCTGATACGATTGCAATCAGCCTTGACTTCTTTTTCTTTCGTTTCTTGTCTGTCGATAAGTTCGTACATAATCAATCAGAAAATTCCAACATTGTCATAACAATATGATTCACATTCATGAGTTCCCAACAAAAATTGTAGGCCATAAGAAACAGGCAACGTTCCGTCTTTGAGTGAGAGAGAACAATGCACCAACACACATTCATAGATGTTTTTTCTATTGACTGAAGACTCCACGAGCTAACTATCGAGACTTTTGACTATCTAGATACATACTTGCTGAAATTTTACATACATGTTTTTCGCCACGTTCAACAAGATCAAGTTAGAGAAACGAAAAACAGTAAGTAGTTATTACCTACTTCTGAAGCAGCCACTCTCACAAACAGGTCCTGCTGATTTGGACTAAGTTCTCTGATATCGATGAGGTCTCCGAACCAGAGTAAGCATCCACTTCCACCATCTCGAACATCCATATTTGAGTAGGCTGTACAGTTACAATCAGCCAAGCACAACTTTCCGCATTCCTCAAGTCCAATGCTCTCGTTAAACCATGATTTCTGCGTATCAGGCACTTTAATCCCCGTAAACTTCCTAAATCCATCTTGCTGACACGCCAACGGAGTCCTCCTAACACATCCACTAGACCAGTCAGCTGCATCCCATTCCTGTGGATACTTTGGCTCGAAACCCCTCAGACAGTCACACGGGGGCGAGTTGTTAATGACACATCTTGCATAAGGACCACACAACGCGAAACGATCACAGTTATCAAACTGTGCTGTCAAATAAAGGAACCAACTCTGCGTACGATCGATCCAGGTATAGTGATTTATCAATCCTCCAGGGGTTAGTACCACCCTGGTGAGCAGTGATCCATTCTTAAGATCATATTTGTAATAAACTTCCTCCTGATTCAGTACAAAACCGAACGTAAAATACGTATTCGGTTGCAAACTAGGACTGCTACTAAATGCTAAACCATTCCAGGGACCTGAACTAAATGTAATTGATGAACCTTTCCATACAAATAACTGTGGATACCCCTGAACATCCATCCTTTCAACAAATTCACCTATAGCAGGATCATCAGGACTCTTCCACGACGACGAGTACCAATCCAGGCCTGTTACCAAATTCCGCCCGAGCTTCATTCCAGGCAACAGAGTATCCCCTGGATAATCGAAACTCTGCCAGGTGAAAAACTCAGGCCTGTTTTCATTTTCTTCCCTGATGACAAGATTACCTGATATCAGATTACATTAGATTAACTCAGTATTTTCAAATTAAAATTAAGATAGTTAAAAAACTATACTAAAAGTACTACTACTACGACAACAACATACACAGAGTTTGTTTCTGATAAACCCTCGTCTTTGAAAGAAAAGCAATAATTGAACTTCAAGATGAAAATATTGAAGAAAGAAAAGTAGTTACAGTACAAATATAAAGGATAACCAAAGTAAAAGAAACAACAGTAGTAAAAATTATACGAAAAGTACTACAAATTGCAGTTCTTCTCATATCAGTATGGTTAAAAATAAACATGTTAAAATGTTGATCAAAGTTCATTCAGTTTAACTCTCGAGAAACTAAACATGACAAGTATTTCTGGACACAGCTTCATTCCAGGCAACAGAGTATCCCCTGGATAATCAAAACTCTCCCAGGTGAAAATCTCAATTCTATTTTCATTTCCTTCCTTGATGAAAAGATTACGAAATCAGATTAGATTACATTAACTCAATATTTCAAAATTAAAATTTACAGATTTTTAAAAAGTATACGAAAAGTACTTGCAATTCTTCTAGTATGGTAAAAAATACATGTTAAATGTTGGTCAAAGTTCATGTAGTTTCACTCTCCAGAAACGAAACATAACAAGTATTACCTGAATCTAACAATCTTGCTATTGGATTCTTCAAGATTGTTGATGAATTCGTTGACCAAATCGTCACATTAGTACTATTAACAAGTACTAAGATTCCATCAGGATTGATCATCAACACACCTGAACTATCACTCAACGGATTATTTCTATTAGCAACCCAAACAACAGTTCCAGTTGATATTTTCTTGTACCATATACCAACATATCGATTCGTCGAATTTCCAGGCCTGAAAAATCCAAGTTCATAAACACCACCTGATGAAACAATTGTGTCACCATCTTTAATAGGTTGATCAATAGTTATGGTGTCTAATGCTAGTACAATTGAAAGAAAATTGAAGTAAATGAATAAAAAAGCTAGAAATTTCATGGATTCAAATTTTTGATGCTAATTCTTCAGGTGTGACTTTTGATGTTATAAACTTTATAGTATAATAATTGATGGGACAAAAAATGTATAGTATAAAGTGTTAGGTTGAAAAATGTTCATTTCTTGGATGGCAACATGTTTTCATACTAGAAGTAATATGTCATAAGACATGTCCAATTAATATCACTTTTGGTCCCTCTATTATTAATAAATTCTATTTTGGTCTTTGTAGATATAGAACTCGACATATTTAACCTTTAGTTAGTCGAAATGTTTAATGTTGGTCCTTTTATGTAGGAAAGACATTTACTTGGGTTTGATGTGCATGAGCCAATATTTTTTTTTTAGAACAACCGATTTACCTTCACGAGGTAGTGGTAACTTTGTGTACACACTACCTTTCTCAAACCCCACTTAGTGGATATTTCACAGGAAAGACGTTATAATTGGACTATTTATACAAGTATACTACTCTTAGATATGAAGTAACAATAAAAAGTTTAACATAACGTAGGAGTGATTATCATTGGCGAAATCAGAATTTTCACTAATGGAGTTCAAAGTATGAAATTGTAAGAAGGAAATGAAAGGGAATTCAATGTCTACTATATATACTTTAAAAATAATTATAACCATATATAAACACTATAATATTCGTCGAAGGGAATTTGGATGAACCTCTTGGCCCTATGTAGCTCTGCACTTAGTAATTACATGACGAAAAGGTTAATAATTTTGAGAATTTGTAAATATTCATAAGTGGAGATCAGAAGTGCATATTTCAAGTAAATCTAAGGTTAAATATGTTTAATAAAATATCACTAGGACAAAAATAGAATTAACTAATAATTCAGGGACCAAATATGCTATTAATCAATAAAAAATTATACTATATGAATTAAGGTCAATAGCTGCTGCTTTAATTTATTGCACTTCTTTTCACATCTTTTTTTTTCTTTATTTTTCTTTGATCAATTGAATAATCTTACTTTTATTAATTGGTCAAATTGCAAATCTTATTTTGACTTGATATTAATGAATTGTTACTTTTTAAATTTAATTAGTTGAGAAGAATAAAGGCGGCTATAAAGTTAAGAAAATTAATTTAATATTAAGTTTTTCATATTACTATTAGCATCGTTTAAATTGTGTTTTAATTCAGGTAGAAAAAAAGAACAACGGATAATTAAGATGTGAAATTTGTAAAAATATGATAGTTAAGGTATTTTTTTCTTACCATTATCTCTATTCTTAACAATGCATTTTATAGCCACGAATATATTGTGACATATCTGAGACCAGAAATTTCAAAAATCTAATTTTCTTTGTCAAAAGAATTCATCTTTCTTTATTTAGTAAGTTTTTAAGTCAATATTTATACCCTAAATTGTCATTCTATAAGGAATTTAAATGACATATTAAAGATCACAAAATTCAAACATTGTTTTTGATATGTAAATAAACACTCTTTAAGTTAATACCACAAGTTCTAATATATTTATTAAATGGTTAAACTTTGTGTCACGTCAAATTAATATAAATAAATGAAACGGAAGGAATATTTTCTTTCTTGATTATCATGTTCAGTCAAATCGTGTAATAGATATAATAATTAACTAGTAAAAATCACCCCCTTCATTTCATTTTAATTGTCATTTTAGCTATAAAAAAAAAAAATCTTAAAATAATTGTCACTTTAGAAATTTTAGACTAAAGTTAACAATTATTTTCAGTTATATTCTTGTCAATAAATAGGAATAACTTAATAAATTATATATATTTCATTTTTCTTAACAAACATAAAAATATCTAAAACGACAATTAAAACGGGACATGAAAAGTATTAATTTTATCATTTCTAGTATGTGATTACCATATGAATGTTTTTGTCTAACCCTAGAAAAATAATTTCCACTAAAAAGTACATGGCTTTTTTCTTGCATTCATGTCAAAAATTTACCTTATATATAATCTGTTAGACATTTCTTTTCAACTGATAATTCTTGAAATATCTCATATTTGATTCTATCGCTCACCTCCCATCATTATCTCAAAAAATAATTTTCTAATATACATCACTATTTTAAAAAAGCCAAAAATCAATTTAGGAAATCGACCTTTCGTTTTTAATTATTTTTTAAAAGAAAAGATTAATTTTTGAAAGTTTTTTTAATAGTGAATTAACTTAATTATTAAAAAAAACACATATTTAATTAGAATAGAATGTGAAGAAAGATAAATTGTTCAAAGTTGTACACCTTTGACTTCCTATTCTCTACAGAACAAAATCATCCCCTCTAGATCTTCTTCATCTTCCTAGTCTTTTCCTCCTCCCCCAATCATTGACTTTTGATGGATTTTTTATTTATTTATGCACTTGTTCTTTTTTAGGTTACTATTTTATTTAGTTGCCTCTTTTAGTTTGTTTTTCACAATTCTTTTGTCCATATTTGCATTTTTTCTATTTAAAAAAAAATATTATTTTCATTTCAATGGCAAGCATGCCAATTGATTGATACTGATTTCAAAGTCTTTTTGTTGACCAAACTGTGACAATAAGTCGATACTGCTTGCATAAAATTCTGCGTACGCTACTATCTCTATCGAGCGTCTAGCAAAGTGATGGTGGATGGAGGATGGCAGTGATACTCTTCATAATAGATGTCATCTGACACTACTTCGAAAAAAAAAAGAAAAAAAAAACTTTATATAGTTTGTGTAAACAATGTTTCCTTAAAAGTAATATGCATATACATAAATCATAATACACTATAACAACAATTTATCCAGCGTAGTCTCATAAGTGGGGTATGAGGTCATTTACACTAGTATAATACAATGTAAATACTAACTCGTGAGGAAATAAAAGTCGAATTGTGACTAGGCCAATACTGCTTATGCAAAATCCTGTGCACGCTACTGTCTATATCGTGTAAAGTAAAAGTTAGGAGCAATTCACAAGGAAGTAAAACTGTGACAATAGGTCGATACTGCTTGCACAAAATTCTGTGTACTTGCTATCGAGCATCCAACAAAGTGATGGTTACATCGTTGACAGAACAAGGTGTTTGGTCACTCCATGAATATCCAGTGGCATCATCTATGTTCCTTTCTGTGAAAAAACCTGGTGGTTTTGGTTGTGGCAAAATGCCTTCATTTGTCAACATTAAAACCACAGAAGACATGTTTGGCCTGTCCTCTGGACTTTGTTGAACACATAACAATCCTACGTGTATCGATCGTTGCAATTCAGATGTATGACATGATTCAACCAAGTTAGGATCGACTATTTCCGATGATCTTCCTTCTCTATGAAGCATCCACGCCTGAAAATTTAACATCCTTTAGCTAACAAATTCACATTCAAATCGAGTCTTTTTTCCATTAATGACAAATAAATCAAATATTCGCGTTTACTCTATTGTATATGTGTGTGAAAGTTAGTGAAAAGAAGAGAAAGTAGTTCCTCCGAGTTATTCAAAGATCAAATGCTTCCGCTCAACCTCAGTCGAGAAAATATCATTGATTCATGCATACTTTCTTGGCTACGAGCAGAGGCGAAGCCAGGATTAAGATTTTGGGGGTTCTAAATTTCCTTTAGAATTGTCAATCAATTTTGTTAGGGGTTCACAGAGTACAAATACAGGGTCTACGGAAAAGCTATTGGGTTCGTCCGAACCCATGAACCCCCAACTAGCTCCTCCTCTGGCTACGAGTCGAATAATGTCGAGAATGAAATTTACATATTCTTGGAGTATGGTACTTACATGTCCAATGAGGTTGAGATTGTGGTCCGGATGAATGAATCTTCTGTTCTTCTTTCCGCTTACAATTTCTAGTATCAATACGCCAAAGCTAAAGACGTCTGATTTTACTGAGAAAATTCCATCGACTGCATACTCCGGGGACATGTAACCACTGCATAAAATCATTCACACGATTACATAATCTAGACAACAAAATATCATGTAATGACCCAAAATTTTGACATTCTTACTATGTTCCAACCACTCGATTTGTATTGTCTCCCGTTTCGTTCCCTCCAAAACTTCTGGCCATCCCGAAATCTGATATCTTTGGGTTCATTTCAAAATCAAGTAAGACATTACTAGCTTTAAGGTCTCTGTGGATGATTCTTAGCCTAGAATCTTGATGAAGGTACATAAGTCCTCGAGCAATCCCGTTGATGATGTTGAAACGCTTAGGCCAATCAAGTAATGTGCTCCTTGTTTGATCTGCCAGAAGATTTACACTGTCAGTGTATATAAGTTAAATAAGAGGTCACTGATATCAAAACTAGTTGATGCATTGAATGAACCGGTTTGCGTTTCATGTGCAAAACTAACCAAAGATAAATAAATCCAGGCTTTTGTTGGGCATGTATTCGTACACCAATATCTTCTCTTCTTCTTCGACGCAGCATCCAAGAAGCTTCACAAGATTTCGATGCTGAAGTTCTGCAATGCAGATGACTTCATTCTTGAACTCATCGTTTCCTTGTCTGGACGTTTCTGAGAGCCGCTTGACAGCTACTTCCTGTCCTTCTTCTAGCACTCCCTGAAAACATGCACTTACCGTTAGAAGTTCCAAAACAGAAATGGAAATACTTTAATCTTATCAAAGAGTATCACTTGTGTTCCATTCACCGCTTGTCAACCTATGTTTTCATAACATTTTGTCCACCAATCGACATCAGCAGAATTAGGCTCACGACTTCTTAATCGTTCTATTGTGGCACTGACATACATATTGATATTCATAATGATAAAATAAGTGACATGGATTTTCAAATTTTCAATATCGTCTATGCATTCTCAATATAGAGCACGTTTGATAATGATCAAGTGACATTGCTTAGCCCAACCAATGACTATTCATGATTTAATTGAATCGATTCAATTTTGTCCCATGAACTATTTGTGTCAATGGATTAGTTCGACCCAAAAATTGAGATAACGAGTGTTATTACGTAAATAAAAGTTGCTTCTTTGAGTAAATACTTACCTTGAAAACTTTCCCAA